ATCACCACCCTATCATACCAACCACCCCACCACCACCACCACCTTACCATCACCATCACCACTTCCATTGTCCCACCACCACCATAACCACTACCACCATCGCCCACCACCCCACCAACACCGCTGCCGCACCCTACCATCATCACCACCGTTGTCGCACCTTACCACCACCCTTACTATCCAACCATCACCCCTACGATCCCCATGACCATCACAACTACCACCATCATCGCCAACCCACCACCGCCACCCCACCATCACCACTGCCCCCACCTCCACCCTCCTCCCCACCCTCACTGCCCCACCGCCACCACATCCACCACCACCACCATCACCACCCACCACCAAGATCTGCCATTGTAGTCCATGGCCACCACCTACCACCATCGTTATCTTATTGTTATATTTATTACCATTATCACCATCATACCACAATCACCGTCGCCTACCGCTAGCACCCATCGTCGCCCACCATCGCCACCAGCCACTGTCACCTATCCCACCACACCTACCAGGCTACCACCACCACCTATCATCCCCCATCACTACCTCTTACCCCCACCACACTTACTACCTCCGTCATTCGCCACCACCCATCACACTATCACCTAGAAGTACCTATCGTCAGCCACCACTACTATCATTGCTGCCTACAACTGCCGTCATCATCCCACTACCATCACTGCCAACTACTATCACTATCGTCCATCACCACCCACACCTATCATCACCGTTGTCACCCATGACTGCCACTACCATCATCGTCACTCAAAACTCACCATCACCATCACCGTTGCCACCCACGGCTGCTACCACCATCACGGTCCTCGCCTTACCCACTCCTACCATCATCATCTCCCATCATCACCACTGTTGCTCACCACTACTACCACCGCTCACCCCCACTATAATCAGTGCTTAAATTTCTTTATCTTTCCTCTATATTTGTGATTTGATTTTAAGTGTGAATACATATATGTTGACCATTTTTTTTATTATTCTGTGCCTTCAGACACGAGGAATAACTAGTATAAACATATAAGAGTTGTGTAGGGATTGAACATATTTTAACATAATATAACTCAAGCACAAATTTAACACAACTCAATCCATTATCAGCAAGAGACATAGCGGTGGCAATTTTTAAAAAATATAAGGGTCAATTACATCCATCACCCTGATATTTGTCTAAATACTAAGATGTAACAACCTAGAAATATTTTACAGTCTAATTTGGCTACTGAAATACATACCTCATTGCTTAATTTCAGATAGTGGAGATAACCCAACTACCAAGCCATGCAATCCAACAATCCTGACAGTGAAATAATATAGCCACTAGGGCAACACAATACAGCTACTTAGACAATGTATTTTTCGTTGTTCAATTTGGCTGGTAAAATAACCCATACCATAAAACCACCACAACCTGGATAATGAAATATGTGTTTCAGTGTCTAATTTAAGTAGTGAAATACATATTTTACTGTCCAAAGATAGAAAGTGAAATAATTAGTCAGCAAACTATCGTAATTAGGGATGGTAATCACATCGTATCGGACGTGTTTGTGTTGAACACTAGTCAATCCTAACTCAACTCATTTAACAAATCGTGTTGTGTCAATTTGACTTATTTATTTTCCTGTTATACTCATGTTGACTCATGTTACCCCATGAATAAAAGATTTAACGTTGCAATTTAAGTCTAAAATTTCTTTTTCACTTAACTGAATGCATGCTTATACTTTTTCTATAAACTAAAAATTAATTTAAAAAATATAATAATAAAAATGAGTACAAACATCATTTTTTGTACAAGAACTATGTCAATACTTGATAAAAATAACAAAAAAAATTTACATTTTATTCCAATAATGCTAGTTAAACGTGTTAGACGTGTCAATTTCGTGTTTTTCGTGTGTCATACTAACCTGACCTATTTATTATTCATGTTAATAGGTCATGTTGTTTACAGGTTCGTGTTAAGAAATTATTAACTCTAACTGTTAATTTTATATCAATTTCTAGTTGTGTTTTCGTGTCGTATCAAAATTTACCAACCCTAACTGCTGAACTACTTGGGCGATGAAATTGAATATATTTTTGCTATCGTTGATAGTGAAATTGAAAAAAAAAGACAGCAAAAAGCAAAAAAACTGAGTCAGATCATTGGGGTTCCATTGAAATTCATCATTTCAATAATCAAAAGCATGGACCAATCCTTTATCCACCTTACTTATTCAACTTAGTTTCTCATTTTTAGATTGTTGTTCTAGGCTCTGGTGTGTCTTAAGTAGTGACAATGGACATATTTGGAGTCGACTTTTTGAGGGAAAAAAAAGTTGTGATTATAAAAGTTTAGTAAAAAATCAGAGTTAAAAAATTCTTTCATAGAAGTTGGTATTCCTACCTTTTATTTTTATTATTAATGTTTTTAAGAAATAAGTTTTAATAATGGCTAAAATTTTTTGGTGGAAAAAATTTAAAAAAAGAATGAGCTTTGATACAATAGGAGAATTTTTTAAAAGATTTGAACAGATATTTGAGTTTGTTTGTTGGATTGTTTTGTATCAAATCAAGTTTTTTACAAGTGGTGGTGCTCTAACCAAATAACTTTTGTTTCAATCAATTTTTCAAAAGAGTAACTCAATGACAATTCACCCAATAGAATATATCATTGCTTAAATTTGACCATTTTCTTAGGTAAACTATCCGAATATATTTGAAAAGAAATTGATTATGCATAAAGATAAAGAAAACTTTCTTGCAGTGATGTTGATAATTTATTTAGTTCCCACAATTGTCTTGTTTTACTTCAAGTGAAACGAACCCATACATTTATAATCAATTCATTATCTATATCTATACTATCATAAAATGTCAACAAAAGTGAAAACTTTTAATTCACTAAAATAACCCTAACAAATCAACTAATACCGATACTATTTTTTACTAGAAGTATTAATATTATTTATAATTATGATTGTTAATAGGTTGCTCTAACGTATCTATACTAACAATTTTGAACTCATCATATCCCATACTCAATGAATACACTAACCGATGTAGAGTTCTGTGAATTAATACCTTATTTACAATTAATGCATCCGTTACAAGTTTGAGCCATTTCTACTTTTAAGTGCAGAAAGAGTGTTTCAGGAAGTTCTATCTCAAGTCAACTTTCAACTTTGGTTTTGGTGGTGATGGTGCTGGTTTAGGTAATTTGAGAATATATATCCAATCATATTGTAGCTTTCCCGATCATTTCGGTTGTTCGCAGTAGTTTTGCATGACATGGAAAACATTAGAGACATTGAACCTTTGTTGAAACATGCATAACAGATCCTCGCCAACTCTCAGGACGAACAACCATATAAAGAACTATCCGCTGTTGAGTCAGTCTTCTATCAGAGACTCACCTTTGGTTAGGTATGTAAGTCTCAAATCTTTTCCAAATTTATGATTTTACCCATTGACGTACTTGATTTGAACTGAGACTTCCCTCTTGTTCACGCTAATATTGTATAACAAAGGCTGGATTTTGATTAGATCCATGACAAGTGTGTGCGATTCTCTTCTATGTGTTGTTCTAGGCGTTTGACCCAGGAACAACATTTTTTATTTTTTATTTTTTTTGGATTTGGGTATTACCTTTCCTAATTTTTGGATTTAATCTTAAAATATTTTCCAAATCTGATGTAGGGTGATTGAAATGTTTTTCAAATCATATAAATAGTTGTATAGATTTATTGTGTTTGAGAGAATCTTGTTTGTGGTCAAACTAGATATAAATGGTTGTCCACAATTTTTTAAGGCAATAATAGCCTCATTTATATTGAGAAAGTGCATGGTTCACAATAACGGTATCCGCGTTAGTATATTGAAATACGTCACAGTTGATTTAGTTCTTGATTGCAGGAGATTTGTTTCCATCAAGAAGGATTCTATCTCAGGGCTTCTCCGACTTGCATTCACTTCACTCATCTTTACTCCCTCAGAGCAATGGTATAAAGACCTAATTGAAAGACATAACCAGGAACCAAATTCAATGCATTTTTCTTTTGTAATTCCATTTTTAAAGGTGAGTTCTACTCATGAGTTCGCATCAATTGGTATTATAGTAGACACTACATCAAGTTTGCATTACACAAGTAGCAACCTATAAACCATTTTACAATGTCTTAGTCATTATATATGGTAAAATATGCTGTTGTGGACTTTAGTGTGAATTGTTTATATCAAGAGTTATTTGTACCCTCGGGTTCATACTAACATCTCCAACAAATAAACCTACAAGCGCATATCATAAAAATTGAACGAAAATTGTAAGTTCAAAATATTCACGTGCAATACACATGAACATCAACTAATAATCTAAAAAACATTCATCTATAATTGAACATCATCCCAAAAAACAAAAAAATAAACAACAAATCAAGACTCTAATTACAAAACACTATTTTTTTTCATCTCTTTACTTAAAAAGTACTCATCCTTACTTTTTTAATTTTTATTTATTATTTTTTTTTAGAATATCCAGGCTTACGCCAACTTCTCTCGAGAGCTTAACGATTGACCACCATAATTTAAATTAAATTAAAATATGTTTATAAAGTTCTTAAGTTCAATTCCTACTTTAAAAGTTACATAATTCCGTCAAAGATTGAGTTGGCATTATAAATTTTAATTTCTACCATAATTGAGGTTAGGCCTTTTTTTTTCACCTGCGGAATGTCTAGTAATGTTTTTTTTTTTTGAAGTTCAATGCTCGATCATATGTGTTTAAACTGCCTAAATTTAAAAAACGCTTTTTTTATGGATCTAAAGGTCATATAAAAGAGAAAATACTCAACACAGTCGTAATAATATATCATCACTAGCGCATAATATCACAACCAAACAACAAAAAATCACATCATAGACGGAGTTTCCGGCGTACAACTGCCATACTCCTTATTGAATTCCACATGATTGGGCCTTGTGGATATGATGCAACACAGCTACTTGCTTTGACCCTCAATCCGAACATGATCCAAGATGGTTTTACCAAGAGACTGGAGTTGTTGCTGCTCCACATACTCCTTGTAATTCATTGGACGATATGCAGCGGGATGGTTTTCACTGTCTACCAACTTGGAAGCTGGGCCAACAGTTGCTTCGAAAGAGGGTCCATTAGCCATGGCTATAGATATTCTTGCAACTTTGTTATTCAGAATTGCTCGATGCATGAGAGTCTTGTACTTTCCATTGCTGAAAATCTGGCAAAACACAACTTATACAAATCAACACATTGTGACTAACTCGTACTATGTAGGTAGAGAACAACACATTCGGTGATCATGGGTTATATATAACTTAGAATCGATCAGAGATTAGCGGGAGAAACATTTACCTCAAGCTGATCGGCAGTGTTTACCAGAAAAGAGTTAGGAAGGGGATTGATAGTGACCCACTTTCCATTGTGTTGCACTTGGAGGCCTGGAACATCATTCTGTATAAGGAGGGTGAAGAGGCCATGATCTGAATGAGGTGGCAAACCCATTGCAAGTTCAGGCTGTGGACAAGGTGGATATAGATTGGCAGAAAAGACTTGCGCACTTGAGTCCAAATTCAAGGTTTTTTCCACATAATCGTTGTCCAATCCTAGGCTCTCCGATATTGCTTTGAGTAATTCTCTTACTATTCTCCGGCCACTGTTGCAATACTCCAGTGCAACCTCACTGCAGCAGCCACCACCAAAGAGTCGGAAATTTGAGTAAAAAGTTCTATTCGATATAAAACACTCCTATCGACGAACGCAAATTAAACAGAGGACGAACTCAAAGTCAAATGAAATCAAATATAAATTTAAATAAGGGTGAAATCTAACCATTACAAAAGAAAGTGAAATCTGACCATTAAAATTTTAAATTTTCATTAATTTGATTAAAAACTTGAGAATTCGTTTGAAAGCTGAGCTTGTTTTCCGGGCATTGTTCCGAGATAATGTAAAAATAAGGGGACCAAAATACAGTAAATACTGTTCATTAAAAAAATCGATGAACCAAGAAAAAAAATTGAATAAATATTAATTGGAGTGGATAAAAATTCCTCAAAAATGACTGAATTTAATATTTTTTTTAGCAATAATGTTAGTGGCTAAGTGAATGAGAAGATGTGATGAATATGTGTACCTGAAACCTATAGGTTTGTGAGGAGCGTGAAACTGATCCGGCTGCACAACGAGCTTTACAAAATCTCTCCACAAGAAAATCTTTCCGTTTGAAGTGCTCAAGCTTGTACCGCACCTGATAGGGTCTAAAATGTTCTTTCCTGCAAACTCCTTTTTCTCCTCCTCTGTCAGATTGAAAAATTCATTACTCGCACTGATTATCCCCTTCAAGAGACTCTCTGGCACACCATGATTAACCACCTGAAACCCATCAACCAACACACATACTCATATATATTCCATGAAGAATACTGTGGTGACGTTAGAGAAGACGAAATATATACCATGAAGAAGCCCCAATCTTGACAGGCTTTGTCGAGGTCTTGTATGGCTTTGGAGCGTTGTTCAGGAATAGCAGAAGTGAGCAAGGAAAAATCAATGATAGGGATTGAAACTTCATCTTCAAAAACATCGGCTTCATTGGGATTAGTTGGGGTGTAGGCATAGATGGAAGGGATGGTTTTGAGATCAGCTGTTTCAGTTAGTGTTTTGACGCTTGTCACATTCGATGGTTGGACATTAGACGTTGGCATAGCGAATTGGGTTGGAGCTGTAGTGGCCATTTGACACAGAAAGAGAGTATGAGAGACACAGTATACGGAAATCTTCTCGTTTTTGGTGGACATGTCGTTCTGATTAACATTATTTATAGCAGTAGCAATGTATGTCTAGAGAATAAATTTAACACTAATGCTGTTAAGATATAATTTAAGAATATAACAAATTATTACTATAAAATAATAATAAAATATATTTAATGATGAGTCAAAGCGTGGCATTACTGTATTTTTTATGCATAACTAGAGTGACCGCTGTACTGCTCACCTACCCTTCCTTCAAACAAAAATATTATACAACTAAATTTGAAAGTTTGAAAAACTTTGTGAGTTAGCTAGAAGAAAAAGTTAGGTGTACGGTTCGGTGGGAAAAAGTTTGGTGGAAAAAAGTTTGGTGATTTCACACAAGCCCCAGCCACATTCGTACATTTAGGGGAGTCCGTTCAATTCGAATTTAATACACGTCTAACTCAAAAAAAAAAAAAAAATTTATACGAAAATTTTTAATACTTGCATTACGTCTGGGAAAAAAAAATTTAACCTGAATTAAATTTGAGCAAACTTCGCGTTGTCGGGTTCAAATCGAATATTAAAATATGGTTGAACCCGATTATTAAATTAGATTGAACTCGAATAACCATAAATATATAAATATATTTAATTAGAGTTGATATTTATCTTCATTTTTTAGAGTCAAGATTTATTTTTCATTTCAAATATTTACTCCTGCGTCTCCATCACTCTAAGATCCTTTTCTAACTCGTCACTCCTCCCTTTATCAATTGTCACTCGTCTGAGTTGTCTTCATCTCTGAGCCTCCCTCCTTTAATCGTTACTCCTCTTTCTCTCACTCCCNTCAAACAAAAATATTATACAACTAAATTTGAAAGTTTGAAAAACTTTGTGAGTTAGATAGAAGAAAAAGTTAGGTGTACGGTTCGGTGGGAAAAAGTTTGGTGGAAAAAAGTTTGGTGATTTCACACAAGCCCCAGCCACATTCGTACATTTAGGGGAGTCCGTTCAATTCGAATTTAATACACGTCTAACTCAAAAAAAAAAAAAAAATTTATACGAAAATTTTTAATACTTGCATTACGTCTGGGAAAAAAAAATTTAACCTGAATTAAATTTGAGCAAACTTCGCGTTGTCGGGTTCAAATCGAATATTAAAATATGGTTGAACCCGATTATTAAATTAGATTGAACTCGAATAACCATAAATATATAAATATATTTAATTAGAGTTGATATTTATCTTCATTTTTTAGAGTCAAGATTTATTTTTCATTTCAAATATTTACTCCTGCGTCTCCATCACTCTAAGATCCTTTTCTAACTCGTCACTCCTCCCTTTATCAATTGTCACTCGTCTGAGTTGTCTTCATCTCTGAGCCTCCCTCCTTTAATCGTTACTCCTCTTTCTCTCACTCCCTCTCTCTTCATTTGCGTCTCACCCTTCATCTCAGATCACTTGAAAAAAATTAGATTTACACTTCAAAAAATCAAATCTACACTTCAAAAAATCAACTCAAATTAAGTAATTCAATGCTAACTCAATTTTTAACTCGAAATCAGTCTGAATTAAGTAACTCGAATTTAACTCGAGTCTACCCGAACTAAATTCAGACAGTACTCGGATTGAGATAGTGTTAGAATTAGAGTTAAAAATTGTATATCTAAAATTAAATTAGAATTGACCACTCAATTTGTATGAATTACACCCTTGTGTACATTATCTCAATTTTCGGATCGGGCACGAGATGCGGTCGATCAAGGGCATACAAAAACTTTTCCCTTCTTCCAACGCTCCGAAGAAGCCAATCACTTGAGTCAGGTGAAAATATAACATCTTCATTTAAAGGGTGGTCTGACAAATCATAAAATTTATATAATAAAATATCATATAATTTAAATCTCAAAAATAAGTAAAATAATTTTTATTTTTTTACGGCTCTGATCGTCTCACAATTATGTCTATTTTAATCTTATGATTAAAAATTATTATTAATTTTAGTTCTCCTACACAAAAATTATGATACATAAAAGACAAATGTGCATCGTAAAGCGTACAACATGGATAGGACTTGGCCTGCCCTATTAATCGAGACTTTGGGCTTTCAACTTTTATTTTTTGCAACTTGGATCGTCTCATAATTATGTTTATTTTGATCCAATAATTGAAAATTATTTAGGAGAATTACTTTCAAACTCTTTGAGATTTGTCACTTAATTACTCCGACTCTTTAACATTTAAAATATTATACACATATCTTTTGAGGTTTGTACACGCGTATCTTGGACCCTTGTTGTCAATGTCAATTAATATATATGTTAATAAATTACACCTAAACCCCCTGAAGTTTATAGGCATGCTTAGACCTCTCAAATTTAAAATTTTATACTTAAAGCAAAAATACTTCAATCAAATATAGAATATCAAATATTTTAAATTTTACAACCAAAATTCATATTCTATTATGACATTTATTGAAATAAAATCAAAAATAAAAATTTATTTTTTCTTAAACCCTTACACACAATTACACACAATGACACACGAATTGCGCGCGCACACACAAACACACATATTTTCAATGAAATTTAATTTAATTTATTTTTTTATTTTGATTATTTATTAGTTGTTGTTATTTTTTTTAATCAGATATTATTATTCACTTATTGCGGTATTCAATTTATAATTACTTAGTTATTGTTATTCGATTATTTATAATTTATTTGATTAGATGTTATTATTCAGTTATTGTATATATTTTATAAAAAATTTTAAATTAAAGAGTATAAAGATAAAACTAGAAATTTGATTTATTTTCAGACATCAGCTCTATGTAGTTATCAAACAGTTTAATTTAATTTAGTACTTAAATTTCAATAGATACCGAACAGTCTACAAATTTAACATTCATTTTTCAATTTTCAAACTTAAGATTTCAGTCTTGTCGAGCACCACTTGCGCAACAGTTAGAAATACTTCAGTTGCAAACACTCGATGTTAATATGAAAGCTCACTATATCCATCTCTTCGTCAGTGATTGTACGCAATAAGAGAGTAGAATAATAAAGGGGCATCACACAGTTTGATTCAGTTAATGAAACCAAACGTAAAGCCTAAATAATGTGACAATTGACATAGTAGGTAAACCTTGAATATGGAATGACCAAAAGTAGAACCAAAAACATCTTTGTTACATAGCCATATCTTGCGGTTCTTATTTTTGATCTCATTTTTTGTCTCTCTGACATTAATGTAGTTAAATATTATTTACACAATTTGATGTAACTAAAGATAAAAGATATTGTGTTCATTACGGTTTAACTCCTTATTTGATTTTTTTTTAATTTTATTTTAATATATAGTATAATTGTAAACTAATTATAATTTTTTAAAAAAATTAAATTTTTAATTTTAATTTTATTTCAATAAATGATGCAATAGAAATATTAAAAACTTTGTTTTTTTTATTTGCTACCTAGTACATTCAGGTATGGGAATATAATTAATCTATATAATAAAGTATAAGATTGAAAACATAAAAAATAATTTTTACTTTTCACAATTGAGATCGTTTTAAATGTTACTTTAAAATTAGTCTCACAACTAATATCAACTTTTCAAATTTAATAAAGAAAATAAGGCATCTAAAGATGTTTTTGAGATGACTTTTTAAAAGTAATTTTTGGACTTATGTTTTATCATAAACACTTTAAAAAAAGTGTTTGGAACGTTTTTATTTTCATTAGTTGCAAATAAATCAAAAGTAATTTTATCATTTAAATAAGTAAGTAAGTAAAATTAAAAAAAATAACTTTTAGTTCTTTAAAATCATTTCTCAACAAAACATTTCATCACCACCCCCACAACCACCACAACTACCAACCCACCACTACCATCATTGTTACTCACCACCGATTGCTACTATCGTCATCACTCAAAATTATCATCATATAATTCTTATATTTATTATCACAATCATCATCATC